TAATAGTCAGACCAAGGAATGGTCATAAACATTTGCAAAGTGAATGCTGACATTTCCCTTATTGCTTCTGTATTTAGCCATGTGAAATTGGAGGGTGTTTTTGGAACTGAAGAAAATCAGAAGGAAGCAAGATGATGCTTCACAGTTAAGAGAGAGAGAAAAAAAAAACTGAACAAGAATGGAACACATTGGACTGGCTAAGTCTTGCCTAAGTGCTCCACGGGATCATTCAGATAAGACCAGACTAAATCAAGCACAGAAAGGGAGGTTGACGATTGCCTTGGGATCACAGGCTCTGAAGCATGCCTATGGAATGCAAGTGGCCAATGAAAAATGGGCCATGGACGGGCAGTGGACACATCGGGTGGGGCAGTTCATGCTTTTAAAAATAATGGTGAACCACATGGCCTGGGTGGGATTCCAGGTCTCCCAGATCACTGGCTCTGTGACTGAGAAAGAATCTTGGTAAAATTGGGACTAATACTTACTTGCTAGGACTAGTGAGGAACACATAGTTAGTATTTGTAGAGAGCTTAGGGTAGAGGGTAGCATGAGATAAGTTTGTTAAGTAGGAATGTCCTAACCTGGAGAATTAGGGATTCGATCATGTGTAGACCACAGCCAGTCACTTCTGACAGCAAGTCGCCCATTCCAGGTAACCAGCGAGCTTGAAGTAAAAGCAGTGGTCTGGTCACCATCAGTGGCTCTAGCAAGGAGCAGTCTGGGTACAGACCACGTGGCACTTGACTGCAAAGGACTTTACAGCAGTGGAAGCGGATGATAAATGGGCGGAGTCAGTCACCGGTGCCTGAGGTTCTTGTTGATTCTCCTCAAGTGAGAACACTCACTAAGACATTCTTTAGGGGTGGATGGCATCTCTTTGGAAGATGCTAACCCAGGCTTGGAGGAAGGAGGCTGGCACTGGTGTCCCCTGGTCCTAGAGCCACCTTGTGGCAGAAGTGGGAAGAAATAAAGGAACCTGAAAGAGGTATGTATTGGATTTTTGTCTTTTACAACTTGTGTGTCAACGAAGTTCCAAATGCTTTGTGGCCTTAATGCCATGGATGACAAAACCAGACAGGGCACCCACATAAAGTACCTGGTGCTAGGGTGCAGCCCTGGGAGTAGAATGCTTGCTTAGCAAACACAAAGCCCTACATTACACACACACACACACACACACACACACACACACACACACACACACACACACACACACACTGTACCAAAGGATGCCGGGGGAGAAGAAAACACACTTAAGTATAAATTTAGCTCATTGTCTACAAAGCACATAATATAATAAAATTACAGATGGAGCTCTGGGGCCAGACTGCCTGTTTAGGCTTGAATCCTGGCCCTGCCACTCATCATGAGTCACTGGGCAACTTATTCACCCTGGGTGGCAGAGTCCTCATCTGGGAGCTGTGTCAGGCACCCACACACCCACTGACCCTGCATATACTAAAGGAGAATGAAGTAAGTTGTCAGAAGCAAGGCGTTTACAATGGTGATGGCCACACATTGCTACTGTTACTAATCCTACCAGTGCTGTGGTTTCCACACACCAAGGACCCGAAAGGAAAAATATCCTCCATCAAGGATGTCACGAGGTTGAATGCAGAAGAAATAATATGTGATTACATGGTTTTAAAAAAGGGCACTATCTCCACTACCAGCATTTTTCATTAAGGAATACTTACAATTTGGTTCAAATCCCAATCTCCCACTCATTGCTGATGGTGGTGAAGTAGGGGGTGGGGCACTGTTTGCCTGTCCACTTATCAAATGGAAACTAAATACCTTCCTCCTGGAGTTACCACAAAGTCTCAGTGAGAGAGCACACCCCAAGGACCCAATACTGCCTCCAGTACACAGTCTCCTTGCCCCCAGTAAAAGCACCTGGACTAGCTGTACTGGCTGAGTCTTTAGGGAGAAGAAGCTCTTTGGAAAGTATTCAGTAATAAGTGCCTAAATAATTACCACAGGAGGCAGTAACACTCAGGGGTGCGCCCTCCCGGGTGCCTCAGCCATGCTGGGAGCCACACACTCTTCCCGGTGCCTACCTTTGCTCTTCCCAGCCTCCAGAGGGCTAGCACGTGTGTTACTGTCTACCCATAAGCGCAGGCCTTGTGACAGCTATTGCCAGGACCTTTCCCTAGGGAGGACAAGGCAATACCTCACCCCCTCCAGGTCCCAAGAGCAAAGCAGAATTCGATTCTGCCAAAGCTCACCTGGGCACTGACTTTATCCAGCTCACTTACAGAGCAGCAGGCGAGGGGTTAATCGGCAGGAACAGGGATGACTTCACAGCAAGCACACTGGAAGGTGTGCACCCAGCTGCAATGGTCCAGAGACACAGCTGTGCAGATGGAACCCACTCTCCTAAGTCTTCCACCCACCTGTCTACTCTAGCCTGCCCATGGGATCACCTGCAATTAATGCAGAACTGCAATACTACTAGTTGGGAAGGGCATCTGGATGCACAGGTGAGGGTCCCATGACTCTTCCTGACCCCTCCTTCAATGAAGGAAGAATCAATGGCCAAGAAGCCCAGGTGGAATGATCTTTTTGCAAGCAGGCCCAGGAGGCTCCCGAAGATGGTGGCAGTTTGGAATGCTCAAAAGTGCCCAGTGCCAACTACTACTTGTGGTCACTTCCCAGTGAAGCCACAAAGTCTCCATGACATGTTGATGCTCAGGCAAATGCTGTTGCTGGATTCAGCCTTCTCAATGGCAGTCCAAGTTTGGAAAGCAGGACTTGCCCCTCCCTGGACCCCTCCATCCCATGTGTATGAGACACAAAGGCAGTCCTAACCCCACAGCAATGACAGTCAATAAGATGGTGATGGGAAGAGCAGACGTGTGGAGTCAAAGGGATCTGGGCTCTCACCTCAGGCTGAGTCTCAGCTCTGCACCTTTGTCACGGCTCATAGTAGTCAAGAGTCCCATAAATTTGAATCAGAATCCAAACAATGAGAACCCTAATGAATGAGGTGCACACATGTGCTTCTGGGTTCTAGTCGATTCCAAGTATTAACAGAAACAAGGAGACAGCAGGGGCTTATTCGGCAGGGCAATGGCAAGCAAGGTCTGGGGATCACTGTCTCTGCTACCTTCCCAAGCTGCGAAACCAGGACAGGCACTGCTGCTCACAACACTGACCTTGAGTGGCAGACAAGACAACGAGAATGCACAGTTACCATCCCTAAGTACTCTACTTCCTAAGGCAGGCAGCAGGTATCTCCACACCCTCCACAAGAGCTTACATCCAATGGGGTCTCCACTTAGTCCTCCATTAACCTGAACACCCACTTAAGAACAGCCTCTTCCTCAGCATCCGGTTTGCCCAGTTCAACTCTAATTGGCCAGAGAGTCTCAACATCTATAAAACCCTTTGTTCCTAATGTGGTACAGAAGAGGCCTCTGTGACGGCGTCAGGCAAGGGGAAGGATAAACGCAGACCTCACCACCTTCTAACTTCACATTGCTGAAAACTTGCCCATCTGTGTGTGGCCCTCTGAAGGGACCAGGCTGGGCACTAATCATAGTAGGGGAGAGTGAGTGAGTGGGACAGAAAGAAAAAAACCAACTGTTTGTAAGTTCTAACCACCGCCATTGGCTGTGTGTGGGGGCCTTTTCTATTCTAGGGGTGCAGCATCCTAGACTGGGCCCTCTGCTCCAACAGCTTCCAACCTAGCCAGCCACGTTACTCCTCAAGCCAGTGGAAAACCTGATGAAGGTGTCTGGAGGAACCTCCGCTGCAGAATGCTCCCCAGGTTAGCACCTTCGGGATGACTGGGCTTCCAGGAGAAAGGAGTTCAAACTTAGCCCATAGGACAGGTTCCAAGACAAGAAAAGACTATGAAAAAGACCACATGGTTCCTCCAGTGACCAGCCCCACGACCTCAGGCTAGCCCCTTTAATTCTTCCAGGGAATGTGAAATTCCAATCAAAGGGCTGTTCTTCCCCATCGGGGACAAAGAAGCTCAACAAATACCTCTGTCTTTCCTTTCTCCTCTAAGTTCCTAAACAGGGAACAAGGAAACCCCACACAAAGTTACGGCCAGGATTATAAGACTGGAGTGGCCCGCCCACATTTTAATGTCAGTGTCTACACACACACACACACACACACACACACATACACAGAGAGAGAGAGAGAGAGAGAGAGAGAGAGAGAGAGAGAGAGAGAGAGCAGGCTGCAGGCTGGGGACTGTTCTAGATTAACAGTGCAGAGACAATACAACTCTAAGTGCTGTGCACTCCCCAACTGAAGTCTCCTTGGAGGTGGGGGTTACACTGAAGGACACAGCTGAGAAGCAAGATGGCACCAATGATGAATTCCCTAGTTGGACTATGTATGGAGTTGCGGTTTGGCAGGACAATGTCCTGTTCTTAGGGGTTACATACTGGAGGATCTATCAAGTGTCCTAGTGCCCTCCACCTACTCTGGAATGCACAAAAGGGGGGGGGTAGTGGGGAGGAAAGGAAAATATACACATAGGGAGAAAACACATGCAGTAGACATGAACCAAGGAAAGGGAGAGCAGGTGATCTGAATTTCTCAGAGGTGGGAAACAGATGCTGGGCCAGGGCTCGGTTTCTCTCCTCACGTCTCCCAGTCAGGCAAGCACATGCCCTTCATGTCTTTCCATGTCACATAAGCAGACATCCTCATGGCTCACATGTCATGGCAGAACATGCCTCCACACATGACGCTATGTCAGGTAAGAACAAGCATTCGTATCTCATGTCACAGGAGCACACATCCCCATGTCTCATATCACGTAAGCACACATCCCTGTGTCTCACGTATCCCATACGCAGACATCCTCCTGTCTCACCGTGTCATTTAAGGACACATGCTCATGTCTCCTACCACATAAGCACGCACCCTCGCAGGCCCACCATGTCACATCAGCACACCCCCATGTGTCTCACCCTGCCGTGAAGACCCACCTGGGCCCTACAGCAGGGAGGCCCTGCGGCCCGAGCACCCACCTGGTTGCAGCACCCGAATCTCCAGCAGGTTGGAGGTCCTCTCCGCCAGCTTCGTCCAGGTATTGTTGTAGTTCCTCCGCCACAGCCCCGCCACACACTGGTACTTGCCGGCCTCTGTGTCACTGGCCCGGCTGATGCTCAGGCGGACGTTGTTGCTGGACTCGGCCTTCTCGATGGCGGTCCGCGTTCGGAAGGTGGACGACCTGTCTCCCCACTGAACCCCTCCATCCCGCGTGAAGGTCACCAGATCATGGAACTCAACTGTGCCCACTGGCTGGAACCGCCACGTCACCGACACGGGGACGCGGGATGGGTAGTGGGGTTTGATGATGCACTGTAAGTCGAAGGAGTCGCTGTAGGTCACCCCTGGCGTCCGGGAGATGGCTGTGACGGCAAAGCCCGTGTCTGCAGGGAGAGCGAGAGATGAAGTACAGACAGCACCTGGCTTTTCTGGGGCAGTGTGTCATCAAATATGGGCCTCCTGGCAGAGCCGACAGGCAGAGCGGAGGCTGCAAGTTCTTAAGCGTTCTTGTCACAGGCAAGTTATTTCTTTAGGTACTGTGTTGAGGCCCAACTCCACAGTTCCTAAGACTCTTTCACACAAAGAGGGCCCAGGCTATTCTTCTGAGCAACCCAGCCCTGTCTGCTCCCAGTGAGACCTGAGGTCCTCATGTGGGTTTACAGTACATCTTCCTCTAGGGTAAGACACCAGAGCCTTCTCAAGGGCTCATACCACATGGCCAGGATCATTCCTAGCAATCCCAGAATTCTGTGCAAAAACAGGAGAGGAAAAAAAGTTCCAGAGCCAACTTCCTTCACTGCACATACCCAACACCCAGAGAGCTGTCCCTGGTCCTCTAGCGCATGACGACCTGAAGTAGGCAGGTGAAGGCTGCCAACGCCTCCTCTAATTCCCCAACAAAACCAAGGATCAGACAGGTATTAAGGGACATAGGACAGGAGGGCCTGGTCTCCAGGAGATGGACACCTGAGGTGGGGTGAGGCATCACTCCTAAATTGAGGTCCCTGCGCTATGAGGGGGCTGTGAGCCTCTCAGTATTCCTTACTGACTGGGAAGCATCCCTGACCTCTAACACTCATTCTCCAGTACACGGGACCCACAGTTCCTTCGGTGTGGATGAACACACTGCTCACAACAGTAACGGTGGCCGGTATGTGCTGCATGCTGCATGCTAGGCCTGCTGTCAGGGGCTTGGCTTTTATCCCTCACTGGATCAACGCTGTACTTCAGGCAGGCTTGCTACCCCTTTTGCAGAGTGCAGAGAAGTCAAATACACCACCTGATACTGAATGTAGTGAATGGTAGAGTCAGGCTACAGACCTACGTGCACCTCATTCCAGGGCCTGCCTGGGGCTGCTCTGCCCACGGGAATCATCAGACTGGTCAAAGGCACCAACTCTGCAGCGGGCAGTCAGTCACCTTCTTAGGACAGTTCCCAGCTGTGTGACATTAAGCAAATGATCTAAGTTCCCGCTACCTCTGTTTTCCTTTCTGTAAAGGGTCCTTGTGAAGGTTAACTGAGTATGTAGCACATTGCATACAGTCTAGAAAATATGTAGTTTGTTTAAGAAATCAAAGCAATGAAATACTTGAAAATCTGCAGGTGAAACACAAAGAGTCTTCGGGCTTTCCCTAGGGAGCTGTTAGAGAACAGGTCGGCAAAAATTGCTGAACTCTCCGGATCTTCAGTCTAAAAAATGAAGACACAGAGACTGATCCTGTGTGGCTGGGATGGCAACTTAGGCAGTGGTGTGTAGCACACAATGCCACAAGAGTGGTACAGATCAGGGATGCCAGGGAACAGGCCTTGCGCTGGGTGTTCCTGGCTTCCCATATGAAGCCATGGTGCCCAGGCCAACACAGGCTACACCATGGACACAGACCAGAGTGCACATGGCTGAGATGTCCCTCCAGTCACAACGGTCTATGGGCAGCCTATTAGTTCATCCACACACCTGTCACCACTGAGGGAAATCCAGACAGAAATGTTTATGTGTCACTGTTTACTTTAGATAAGACCATGGCTGGCAGGACACCCATGGTCCTAGTTCCAGAGGGAATCTAGAGACAGGTCAAGTGAGCAGAGGCCGCCTCAGGATTCCAGGGGAGTGCTACTCAGCATGTCCTGGCTGTGGGAGCAGCCAAATGCGTGGTGAGTTTAAGAATACTCCTAGGGAAAGAACCCTGAATCACCCTTCCCTGGATACCCCTAACCGCCTCGGTGAGGAAAAATACATGTAGCAGATCCCAGAACCATCTCCCAAGTTCCCCTGTCTGGCTTTACAGCAGTGCCAAGCATAGGCAGCAGGAACTGCGATCATCACTGGAGGAAGTTTCTAGAAACAGAAATCCGAGCTGCCTGAGGACTGCAGAAGGCAAGCCCATCTTTGGGAGGAAGCTTTCAGAGAGCAGAAGCAATTGCAGTGAGGTGGCGGGGGGACGGACGGACACAGAGGCTGCATCTGGGCTTTCCATGATGCTGTGTCCGTTCCAAGTCCTAGACAGCAAGCCGGTCTAACCAAACGGGCACCACGGAACGCCAGGGGTTGGGAGCAGCTTACGGTTTCCCTACTGTTTGCATCTTTCTTTTTTTTCTTTTTTTTTTTTTTTATTATTTTTTACTGCATGTCTTGCTTGGGGAGACACCTTGTTACCCTGAAAAGCTCTAGAACCGTGGCATGTGGCTTCCCCCTTTGTGAGGCAGCTGGAGGGAAGCCCTGGCACGGGGCGGGGGGGGGCATTAAATATCAAATAGAAAACGTTTTTTATCACCAGACGATTGAAAACAGACATTTAAGAATAAAGCAAAGGCGATGCTAATCTCGGCAGGGAGAACAAGGACTTGGTCATAGTCAGCTCTACCCTGCATGGCCAACTTCACTGGGTGCTCGACAGCACCGTCAGCCTTACCTCAGGGAAGGTGGTGACACAGTCCTCGAGAATGGGGACAGACAAAGCCTCCTGATAAACAGAAGGCCTGACAAAATAAGTTATCTTCCCAGCAAAGTAGCAGGCTGGTCTTTTAAAATGTGATAGACCGATTGCATCTGGCAGATAACACAGACAGAAGCCGCTTTGGATACCCCGTGAGAAGCAAATCTAATACTGCTTGGTTTCTGCAAATCTCAAGGTATCTTTTCACTCCGTGCAAATGCGGAAATGTTTTTTCCTTAAGTGGGGGCTTTACCGAGGAAGAGATAAAAACACAGGCCTAAATGGGACAACTGAGCTGAGTGCTGAGACTCAGCCAGACATGGGGCGAGTGTTGTATCGTTGGCAAAGGGCTTTCCATCTTGTTCAGCCACTTTTGGGGGGCTGGACTGTGAGCAGCTGGGCAAGAGCCCCTGTGGACAGAAGAAACTTATCACTCTACCCAGTCACTCTTTTCTTTCAGGCCAGTTTTACCACAGCCATGTCCTGCTAGTTGGTAGCACTAATCTGGCTAAAATCTTGATACCACCCAGTCCCAGGGGTGGTAACAGCCCAAGAGGGTCACTAGCCCCAGATGCCCCATCCACCATCAACTGTTAAGTTTCCTCAACCCTGAGCATGCTACCCTAGAGTCCTTTCAACGAAACCCTCTAGAAGACATCATTATCTCCAATCAGAACTGGTTTTCCTTTTTTGCCGAGTGTGTGATGCGATGCATATATGAGTATATGCATGTCTGTGTGTGGTTGCATGTGCGTATGTATGCACGCACAGGCCTGAGATTGATGTCAGGTACCCTCAATTGTTATTCCACCTTATTCATAGAGGCAGGGTCTCTCAGTCAAACCCAGAGCTCACTGGTATGGGTGGTCTCAATGGTTAGCTTGCTTTAAGGAGCCCATGTCTGCTTCTGAGGCTGGAATTACAGGTGTGATGCCAAGCCCACTCAACATTTTCCTAGGGTTCTGTGAACCTGAATTCCAGATCTGCATGCTTACGGAATGCACTTTAACCACTGAGGCATCTCCCCAGGCCCTGCAACCAGAATGCTGATAAATAGGGAAGGAGTCGGACACAAAAGCATCGGCCACGGTCCCATTGCTCACTCACCAAGAGCTGTGATGGAGACAAGGGTACTGGCGCGGCGCTCCCCCACGATCTGCCATTCTCCATCCACGGCCCGTACCCACTCCGTCACATGGCATTCGTACTGGCCCTCGTCCTCCTTCCTGCTGTTGAAGATGCCCAGGCTGAAGGCGTTGGGCTGCACCTGCTCCATCTGGATGCCCCCAAAGCTGCTGCGTTCCCAGTAGGATGAGCCCGGCTGCACGGTGCCATCCCGGTCAAGCCACATGACGTTGCTGCGGCGGTTCTGCCGATCCACAAGCTGCCAGATGACAGAGAAGCGGCCCTGCAATCTGCCCACTGTGCGGACGCTACAGGAGAAGTGCAGATCCTCACCCTCAAGGATGACGCTGGCGTTGCTGGCCACCTCCACGGAGATGCTGCTTTCTGGGGAGAAGAGAGAGTTCCACACTGGGGTTTTTTTTTTTTTTTTACAGTCTCCACGGCGCCCTCCTCACAGATGACGCAGGAAGAAGGGTGCAAACCGAAACCCATGATTCTGACAGTGACACTCACAGGATTCGAAACACTCTGATTTGTTCTGAAACACAACTTACTGTTGTAAGATCTGGCTGTTCACACTGGGCACTGCTGCCTAGATCTGGTGGCCTAGAATGCTCTATGCTTGGTGTAGTGGATTGGGATAATGAGGTCCTAAGACCTAAGAGTAAATCAGAACCTGAGAAATATAACACAATGACAGGATGTTGATAGCATGAAATTATTTATGGGTGACCTGTTCAGACGCGGTTCAGGGCTGTTGGCTTGGAGTTTCGTCGTGAGAAATAACTTCCGAATCCTACTGCCCCTCAATCTTCCACCACTTGGAGCTACAGCAGTCAAACAAAAGCTATAAACATTCTGAGTGTGCCATCTGAATCCTTCAGGGAAGTATTAGGAAGTAGAAAAAAATGTCAGGAAGTGTTTGGAAGATGGCATGTGCTTGTGTGTGGAAAATGGGGGCACAGATGGTCTAGGCTCCCAGAGTGTGTGGAGAGCAAAGTCTCATGCTTTCCTTCCCACAGAAGAGGGAGCCACAGCCAGCGGCTCACCATCTACCGCTCTCCTCTTTACTCACTCACTCAGCCGTGGGGCACCTCTGCTCTCTACCCTGACAGTCTGCCAAGCAGCGGTGGAGATAAGAACTCCACTCCCTGCCTAGCTGGGTCTAGCCTCCGTCCATCCTTTGGATAGCTGGTCTCAGTCAAGGGGATGATTTAAGGTCCATAAGCCTCAGCTGCTGCTTCTGTAAGATACCATTTTTAACTTACAAAAGATTAAAAAGCAAAGAGGACAATGCATACAGATTGTGCAGCACACCCAGTACGTTTTTTAAAGGTGGTACCCACAATCATGATTGATTTTACTATACTCAGGGAGATTTCTGCTTTCATAAACAGCATGGCTAACACTTTCTTAATTATGCATATATTATTCTGTATAATTACCTGTATTGGGTTCAGTGAACTCATACGAATTAAACAACACAAAACACAGTGTCATAATCAATTTGGACTCAATTTTCTAGGCACCACTGATGATCGATTAAGTCCAATCCCAGATCAAGAAGCACACCCGATCACTGCAGCATTTGGATCCACTTACTCTTCTCCCCTTTATTTCCCCAACAGGCAGAAACAGAAAAGAAGAGCAGCAGGCCTCAGCCCCAGCTTGTGTCAGAGTGCTGGGCTTGTTTCACAGGAAGGAGGTCTGGACACGGTGGGACAGCAGTCTTCAGGAGGACAGCCTGTCCAGGGCAAGGCTCTGTAGAGCCATCGTCCACAGTGGCAGTGCTTCAGAGCTGGGCTGCGCTGCCTCGCTGTGGAATCTTGGTGTTCTTACCAAGCCTCAACTTATCATGTGCAGAGTTGGGATGTTACTGGTGCTGACTCAGGGTCATGACAGAGAGAAGGAAATGGGGAGCAGGGGCAGAACTAAGGGCTGAACCTAAGGCTTCATGGACGCTCTGCAGGCGTTCTACCGCTGAGTTACAGCCCTGGGCTTTAAATTTGTCATCATTAATATTCTTCCTCACTGTTTTCAACTCAAGGTGAGATACACAAAAGGCAACTTCAGCATCAAGGAAGAAAACCCTTCCGTCTGTCTTGTACAGAAGAAGGACCTGTAGGACATCAGTCGTATGCTCGACTGTTACCCCAGGACTCTAAGGACATGCTGGATGGCTATTTGGAGAAAGCCTGGAAAACCTAGATAGAAGAAAAGCCTTCTGGCAGCTGAGGCATGGGTAAACACAGATCTGGTGCTGCACTGCCCATTGTAACTATTTATACAGGTTCCCAGGCTTTAAAAAGGTAGCCAACAAGTTAAAATCCTCCAGACTGAATGAAAACCAAGACAGAGCTAATGAAAATCTGAGTGTGTGTTCACAAATGAAATTTCCAATCAGGAGGCTGCTGGCGGAGCACAGGCGGAGGGAGCGCAGGGCAGCGGGGTTCGGAGTTAGAGCAAACGTTCCTAATGCAATTGCAAGTCAACCACTAACTGAACAACCGGATCAGCCACTTCCCTGTGTGTGCGCTGACGTCTCCATCCACAAGATGGATGTAACACTAGCTTCTACAGGGACTGGAGGATTGAGAGCAGAGAGATCATTTATGCAGAAGCACTTTGGGTTCTTAGGAGGAAAGGTGCCATTAAAATCCAGGGCATTATCACCATTACCGATTGATTGTTATTCTTCAGTAGACTTACCCAAGTGGCCTTGGGGCAGGATCTGGTGCTGCTGGGGGACTTTAACTACCCAGTTATCTGCTGGAAAAGCAATATAGCAGGCCACAGATCATCAAACAAGTTCTTGGAAGGGCTGGGGGAAATCTTTTAGTACAAAAGATAGAGGGAGCCAACAGTGTGGCTGCCCTTCATGCCGTCCTTACGAAACAATGAGAGATTAGTTTAAAAGTTTAGAGTCTGTGGTTAGGGCAGGCACAGGAAGACAGGACAAAGAGTGTGGGCATTCAATCTGACAGTTTCAACTGTACGTGTGTTTAGCAAGCACCTAATCTATGCAAAGCATCATGCATCGCGAGGAAAGCACGCGAGTTCAAGGTTACGTACGTGTGTGTGTGTGTGTGTGTGTGTGTGTGTGTGTGTGTATGTGTTCCAAGTACAACGAGCATGACAGAAAATAATCCCATTGATGAAAACAGAAAGAAGGGTGACAGGCCTCCTCTATTTTGGACTTCACACTTAACAGAGAAACATTTCAAATACATAAACGTGTAAATAAAAATGGAAAGGAAATCATTACAAGGCGAAGAGGAGGAACAGTCCTGGGAACTAAGAAAAGGTTAAAGGTTAGTTCTTAAACTAGACCATCTTGTTTAAAATCAGAGCTTTGTAAGTTTTGATTAACTTTTGCTAAGAACAGAACTGTGAGAGAAAAGAGATTAATAAGGACGTCTTGGCACTATGGACATTTAAACATGGCATGCACACACACTGTTCATCTCTGGAGTTCCCAGAAGAGTGCCACCCACCCTGACACTGTCAGTGTGCATGGAGGCAGAGTCCCTGGAACAGCCTTGAGAGGGCCAAGCTCTTGATCCAGGAAGACAGAGACCCCCATCCACTGAGCACTTTCTATGCACATTAAGAGGAACCTAACACTTGGTGCATGCTAGCAAATACTCTATCACCCACTGACTTTTAACAATGCAATTTCAGTACAGAAGAGACAATTAGGGAAATACCTGCCTTGATACCTGGAAAAACCCAGACAGCAAATCCTTCTTAATAATGCAGCTGATGATATCCAAATCCTCCCCTAAGAGATGAGCTCTCCTTAAGTGAGATTTCAAGGCAGGCCTCTGCCCACTTCTTTTGGGATTTAATTCCCCTAGAGGAGCAAATGACTTCCTGGTCTTCCTCCAAGCTGAGCTGGCAAGGCTGGTGTTTTACACCGAGCTACTTGAGCTCAAGTCTGCAGGTACCATCTCCAGCCGAGACATGCCCCTGTCGCTTTGTAGACATGGGGCTGGAGGAGGTGGAGAGGCCCTCTCTCTGGTCCTCTTTATCCCAAATTCTGCCCCTTCTCCTACAGCTAGTCTCTCTCCCACTGCACCAGGAACTAGTAAGTGGCGCCCTTCTACTTACTGAGGGGAAGGACGACGATGGGGATGTTCTTGGGACGCTTGCTTTCCTTGTCAATGAACTCGCCAGTGACAGTCTTCTCTCGCTCTGTCACCCGGCAGTTGTATTTGCCACTGTCTTCCTGGCGGAGGTGGTATATCTTCAGCACAAAGACACCGTCACCCTCTTTGGACACTTTAAGCTGTCCCTTGGCTTCACGGTGGGCAAATTCACTGTTGAGGACGGGCACAGCATTAGGCCCCATGGTGGCGATGAGTGAGCTGTTGAAGGCCCAGGAGACGGCAAAGTACCGGTCGGGAATGTTCTGAGCCTCTAGGATACATCTGAACTCCACCGGCTCACCCACTGTGTGCAGCCTCTTATCTGTCTCCAGACGCACGGTGAACTCTTTGTCTGGGAACACAAACAAACTGGATGCAATCTGGGCAAATGGGGCTGCAACCCACTAAACTGCTTCAGGAAATCCCTATCCCCCTGACCTTCTTCATGACAATAACCACGGAGAAGACTCAGAGTTCATCTTGGAGAGAAAATCCAACTCCAGCCATGTAAACCCTTAAATACCAGAGTCCCAGCCAAACCCAGGCGGTCTAAGGAGTTTGCCATTCCCATTTAAGACCAATAGGGCTCCGTCAAGCGGTACACTGCTTCAGATTAAACCAGGGCCTGCACACAAGCCTAGTCTCACTTAGATGGCAGATGGCAAAGGCCTGAGCTCTGCTAGAGCAACATGACTACAAGTATGTTTGTTTGTTCAGCAGTTACTCTAAGACTCACCTCACAGAGGTCTATGAGACACAATCTGCGTAGTCTAGGTGCTGACCCCAATTCTAATCAACACTCAGATGGATTTATTAAGATTCTTCTCCTGACCTCTATAAGAACACTGAAAATTAGGTAAGGGCAAGACAAACTAGTTACAGCACACAGACTGTCTTAGCACTAGCCTACAACCTGCCAGGTCATGACTTTAAGCAGACCGAGCAGGAAAGAATCCACTAACAGCCAGGCGCCTCTGAAAGTGGTGAAGGATCAAGGCAGAAACTCTTCCAAGAGCTGGTATCTACCTAGGCACAAGCATCACTGCAAACAGCATCACAGATCTCCAAGAAATAGCATATAGTTGACTCAAGAGGCGTCATCTTGTATCAGGAGGCACTCATGGCATACAAGTGAGGGGACAGGAAGATGAGTTAAGACTGGGAGGAAGTGGCATCATCTCCCCTTGCTTTGGGAGCCTGTAGCTCCTAACTCCTTCCAGTTCTAGCTAAGTTCCTTGCAGAGAATATGGAGGGAAAACTCACATCACAGTGGTGTGTGAACTTTGTAAGGATTCATCAACATCAACACCACAATGGCCTTCCCTCTGTGGCACTCCCAGGCCATCACCACCATCTTCGAGATCTATCCCTCAGCCATTCCAACCCATCCCTCACACTCTTCAAGCCTGTGAGAGCCCTGTTTCCCTGTGGAACTGGATCAGGTAAGGCAAGCAAGCTTCTCTACTCCAGTCCAGCTCAGCCTCTGTCTTCTCTTCATCCCTCCTTCCCACACAGGCCAGTCTTTTGAGCCAGACACCATTTCTTGCTAGTGACTAACTCCTCCCTGTATTACCCAAATTTCCTGACATAGCAAAGTCCTCTCAACAATACCCCCGACATGTCAGCTGTGGCCTCCTCCCCTTCTCAAACGAAACAGTCCTGGGAGACAATGGCAGACAGCAGCAGGTTTTACTCCACTACTGTCTGCTAGGGGAGCATACCCAGATGAGTGTGCCCATGTTATCCATTGTCAACATTAGCCCTCCGATCAATAAAATACAGTAATTCATAACCCATCAGCAACCCTAAAAGGCACTCCTTCCAGGTGACTGCAGCATGGGATCCCAGGGGATCCCAAGGCCTCAGACCTTCTCATTTGTCCTAGACTAAGCAGGCTACCACTCTGGCTTTCCTCTTTTGGACGCCCTAGATGCTGCTTATCCCATGAGAATGCCCCATGTTCCATGTAGCCTTCACAGTCCCTGGCTGGAGATGCAAACTCCCCTTTCTGCAGAGCAATCTGCTCTTGACTATGCCCAATCAACTGACTAAGGAATGTGGATTGGGCGATTCTATATCCCTTTTTCCTAGTCCGCTGAAACCTGGCTTCCTGGTCCCTTGTCCACGAATGGCTGACTGGCCCTCATTCTTCTGAGCCAGCTCTAGCCTCTGGGATTGCTCTCCTCCCTTGGTTCCAGGACGCCATCCCTTCTGCCTTTCCCCTGCCCTGACTGACCACTCTGCTCCACTCACAATGGGGCCTCCTTTGACCACCTCCTACTGCCATGGATCTCTTGAGCTTGTTCCTATTCTTGCCCCATGGACTTTCCAGAACCCTCCTCACTTGCAGGTTCAGTCTTTAAAACCTCTAGATGTCCATGTCCAATGACACAATGGGTGTGCATTGTTATGAACGTCTCTGAAAGTGTGCTTACTAGGGGGATCCCTCGCTTAAGTTACAAAGACAGCCAATGCTGCCACTAACAGGTCAGCAGACCTCCCAGCTGGGCTCTGCAAGTCCTCATGACCCTTCACCTCCCTTTTCTTCTCACAGTTCAGGGAATCACAGACGACTCCTTCACCACATCTCTATCCTTCTGCCTCCAGCACCAGGGCTGCCCTCCTAGGCCACCACCATAGCCTGGCCGTGTGAGTTCTTCACAAGCCTGTCTCCTGATTTCATACCCAACCTGTCTAACAAATGTCCACATGCCCCCTCCTCCACATGCCTGAGCTCTTCCTTCTAAATGGACCAATCAGATGGGTAATTCCTAATTAAAATCTCTGTTCCTGCGGTGGTGTAAGGGGAGGAGACCTCCTTTACGTCATGTAAAATCTTTTACTGCTCAATAGGGCAGACATCTGTCTGAAGCAAGAGAGAAGCACACAGGTTCTTGTGCTCTACCCACTGGTTCCCACATTTGCACGTGAGGAAGCGTACTCACCCAGGTGCACCTCTCTGGTATCCCCCAAGGACCCCCTAAAGTTCCAAGAAGAATGGCTTGACAACTCCTGGTCCACAGGGTCAAGCCCATGCTCCACCTCACAGCATGTAGCTGCAGGTACTCACCCTTCCTTTCTTCCTTCCTCCCTCCCTCCCTTCCTCCCTCCCTCCCTCCCTCCCTCCCTCCCTCCCTCCTTCTCTTCCTCCCCTACTGCTCAATCTAGACCTCAACATCTGGTCACTTGACCTTCTTCTGCCAGCCAGCTACCAAATGACCTCTGCCTCCCGCATTTCCTGCTGCTGTCTGCTCAACCTTGACACAGCTCAAGTCAGCAGAGGAACTGGAATTCCCAGATTTGCTATACTAGCCATCTTCTCCAGGAAAATGTAGGGCTCACCCAGCCTTCACTACTCACACAGCACGCAGCACCCTAAGTGCGCAGAGCAATGTCGTTCATCTTGGCATCCCGATGCCTCACACCACGCCTTCAGCGCTGTAAATACTAATGTCTATTCAAATAAACATGAAGCAAAAGACTGGAAGTCGGAGTTGCAACTCCTGAGCCTGAACAGGAACACACAGTGAAGCTATCAACACTTCTTTTTCCCATTAAAATTTTCCTTTGCTGGCTTAGGCTGGATATATTTGCAGGGCAAATTCAAAATGTCCTAATTCTAAATTGGTAAGATTAAAATAAAGAAGATTAGCTGATGCAACCTAATTTAAAAGTATTAAGACTCAAAATTAGGCCCAGACTTTTTTGACACTGATCTTAACACCAACCAGGAATGAAAATGATAAACAGGAACTAAAGCCTCTTGGGTAAACTTAATATTAGAAGATCCAGAAACCACTAAGAGCCCTGGTCCTAAGTGTGGATCAAGTGTGCCCTTCTCACCAAGAATCCAACCTTCTTTTGCTTTCACACCCATCAAGTGTCCAGAGGATCCTCTCAGCCCTGTTCCCTCCAGAGCTGTGCTACACAAAATGTAGGCAGGTAAGAACGACCGGGGAAGTACATCAGAAACGTAGCCTCCCAGTCCCGCCCCCCAGCAGTCTCCGAGTAGGGACTCCAGGGATGAGTCAGAAAGTTTAGTATTAAGTGAGTCGGAAGCATTGCTCTCAAATGTCACAGTACCCATGCAAGGACCAAGGTAAGTGACCCACCAGGACAAGAAGGACAAGAGACAGGTTCTGACAAGGGTGCGACCACCTGCAACATAGACACTTCCTCTCCTCATCAGGACCAACAGCCCTCAGCAGGCCACCTCAGTGACAGCTTGATGACCACCCTCCAACCAAAGCCAGGCCCATGTAGGAACCTGCCCCAGCTCAGCCAAGGCAGTCAACAGCTGTCAGTTCTACACTGGAGCTCTGCAGGTGCAAGAACCAGGAGGAGAACCTGAGTCTCAGGAGATGCCAAGAGACACTGTGAAGGACTGCGGCTTGCCAGGCCGCCATCACTACCTCAGTAACTGAAACATCATCAACTGGGTGGCATCCACGGCTAACAGGAATGGGAACCCAGGGGTATAAGATACAAAGATTTTCTGTGAAATCTCTCATTTTTAAGATTTTTTATTTTATGTGTGAGTGTCTTGCTGCATGTATATACGTATATCACACGTGTACTTGGAGATCAAAAGACGGCAAAGGACCCCCTGGAACTAAAGTTAGCAATAGCTGTGAACCACCATGTGGGAGCGAGGAATTGAACCTGGGTCCACTGCAAGAGCAACTAGTGCTCTTGGCCACTCGCCAGCCACATTTTTCTTCAAAATCTCTCATTTTTATTTACAGTTTCTTTTTTTTTCTTTTTTTTAAAATATTTATTGATTTATTATGTATACAGTGTTCTGTCTGCATGTATGTCTGCGGCCAGAAAAGGGCACCAGATCTCATTACAGATGGTTGTGAGCCACCATGTGGTTGCTGGGAATTGAACTCAGGACCTATGGAAGAGCTGCTAGTGCTCTTAACCTCTGAGCCATCTCTTCAGCCCAAAATCTCTCATTTTTAAAAAACAAATTTCTTATTCAAAATAATGTACGATACCATATTGTAGAGAAAATATGACAATGAGCAGAGGCCCAGTATGGGTAGCTGTCTGTGACTCACTGGAAGTTGGGTCTCTGTTCCCATTTTCTACAGCCCACATTACAACCCTCTCTAACCTCACCCCAACCCCTACTGTGTTGTTACGGTCACCAAACAAGGTGTCCCCACACCCTCCTAGTGTCTGACTCCCCACCAGGTAAAGGACAAGAAGCAGAGAGAGACTGACCGGTGGGCTGGACGTTGACGACAGCACCCTCGGAGCGCTTCCGGGTCATGGCGTACCAAGAGCCATCTGGATCCTGGATCCACTCGGCAGCCTCGCAGTAGAACTCGCCCTGGTCGGAAGGCTGCAGGTGGAAGAGGGTGAGGCGGAAGGTGGTCCTCCCCAGCTTGTCCAGCCGCACCTCCCCCAGGCTCTGCCTCTGGGCGTATTCGCTGCTGGAGTGCAGGATGAAGTCTCGGCTCAGGGCAATGACCTCCACAGGCTTCTCGCCACCCTTCCGCCGAAGCCAGGATACGGAGAGGTGGCTGTGCTGGTCGCTCTCAGTGGACACTTCACAACTGAGCTCCAGGGGGTCCTGTTCCACTTTGTGTAGAGTCTGGGGGACAGCTGTGGCCTGCAGGGAATCTGGGATCACTGTAACATAAAATGTTCCCACGGAGGAAGGTTACAGGGCTACAGAATCTGAGACTCGCCTTCCCAGAGGCTAGAGCCCTACTCCACACAGAAACCACTGTTACAGCCTCAACAAAGGCAGCTCTGACAATCGATTCAAGGCCACAGACAACCTAAATACGCTTTTCTGTTATGATAGCTAAGATAATATTTTTGGCATTGACACCTGCTTGGTATTTTAACGACACTCAGAGCAAAGAGGGATTTTATTTTGAAAATGTATACAACAAAGAACTCCCTGAGAATACCATATAAGAACAATGGTTGAGGTCTAACAAGATTTGTTGTTCATTTTGGTATTGCTTTGAGATACCTTAACCTCACGTCCTGGACCTTCTGGCTTTACATTCCTATACAGTCCGTCCCTTTTCCCTTCTTGACCTACTCTCCATCCCACCTCCCAGTTTACCTCATCAATGCACTGTCCTTAGAGGGCTACTTACAAAGGACACTGGGGAGTGGAACTAGAGAAAACCATCCTCACCCCTACTTTGCCCTCATACTGGGGACAGAACCTAGGACTTCATAAGTAACAGGCAAGGACTCTACTACTGAGTTACAACCCTAGACCCTAGCTCTTGAATTTGGAGACGAAGTCTCACTACGTTGTCCAAGGTGTCCTTGAACTTGTGATCTCCCAGCCTCAGCCGTCCAAGTGGCTGGATTACAAATGGACACCAGTAGGCCTGGCCTGCTTCCCTGTACCTTCACAGGATTCATCAAAATGGCCCACAGCAGAAGGAAGCCACAGGACACAGAGGACTCAGATAAATGAAGACACTGGTGTGTCCCATCACTGGAGTTTTATTCCGACTTTTATCTTTCTGAGGATTAAACGCCACCCCCACACTGCTGCCTCTGCTGCCTGAGAAAGGCGCTCCAGTCACAACAAGGGTACGTCTTCCTCCCAGAGCCTGTCCCAAGACTGAGGCTTAAAGTCCTCTTACTAGGACACAGGTTCATTACAGGAACGAAAACAAAGCGAAAGCAGTGTCCTTATCGACAAAGACCCACCAGCACGTCCTGCCTAACTGTGGGAATGAGAGGTGGAGCTCAGGACGTGGGCACAAACAGGAACAGCCTGCTCTTTGTCCTTTCTCACTGGCAATGGGTAGCCAGAGATGTCCACACTAAATGCTCCCCACCCTTCCAGCTGACATCTTCGACAGCATGCAGAGAACATGCGGGGAGAGAGGCAGTCCATAGCTTCTTAGCATGCAGCCAGGGAGGCCTGGGTACCAAAAGCCCTACTCTCTCCCTGTACCTCAAAACCTGTCCTTTTTGCTCATCATTTCTGAGGGATGGTGTCCAGGGAAATTCACCCCCAAACAGGGACACTTGAGTGTCGATTACTTCACATTAAAGAAAGACCCTTTGGACAGTAGTAGATGCTTTAAGCAACGATATACCAGTGCCTGTCTGCCCAAAGGGCAGGCCTGCTGAAGACGCTCTTACCTTCTATTTCTTCTCTGGATTTTCTATTAATTAAACTCATATCGACAGGAAAGGAGATTAAGGAACACAACTGCTCACAGGCAGCTTCAGTCACAAGCTACTCTCTGTCTCTGGGATCCACTCACTTCCCACAGAACCATTACTGTTGTCTGAGAATCGGCTCAGGGTGTTCACTAAAATCACTTACTATCCCTCCAAACGCTCTCGTTCCTTTCTCGTCCCCTCCCCTCTGAGTGTCTGGAACTGACTGGGTTATTGAGCAGAAACTCTCCTGAGACACACACATTGCTGCACTCCTCTGACGACCCTCCTGCTGGATCTATGGTCACTTCATCCTGGCCTCTGCAGGGGGGAGCTCTGCCTTGCTCTTATAGGGGCTTTGCCTCTCTCCCAGCTGATCTCATCCACTTTACCTTCCAAGCCCTGCCTCCAAATTGTCGCCCACAAATGTCCTTGCCACAGGGCAGTCCCTTGCCTCAGCCTCATGGATGCTGGGATTACAGGCATGAGGTACCATGCCCGGATCTTGCCTTTATACACTCATATTGCCTTTCACCAGTAAAAGGTCTGGTTAACCACTGAGGTTCTTAATGTTCAAGAGAACTCTCCCAAGTGTCAGCCTTAAAATAGTGTTCACGAGTGTACATAGAAATCGTGTTCACTCATGCTCCCTAATGTATTCTAAGATATTTGGGGAAGAATCTGTTTTTCAGTCATATGGTATGTAGTAAAGGTATATGGCAACAGAGGGGACTCAGGCCGGACACTGGCCACTCGAAAGCAGTGTCTCCTTCCTTACCCACTAGGTCCATCTTGGCACTGTAACTTCCAAAGTAGCGCTCATCAGTGTTAGGGGTGTGACATTCATACTCCCCAGCATCCCGGGCTTGCAGATCTGTGATGTGAAGTAAGGCCGAGTTCCCCTGGATTCTCTCCACGTAGATCTTCCCACCTCGAACTCGTTGGGTGTAGATGGCGTAAGGAAAGGAGGAGTCCACTGTGCTAACAATCTGTACTTCACGCTGCGGGGCGGAGGGCAGGTAAATGGACCACTGGAAGTTCTGCTCCGAGGGACCCTGGTAGCCACTCACGTTGCACCAAATGGTGATGTGGGAGCCCTCAGTGCGGTACAAGGGCCCTTCCTGGACGGTGACCTGTCGCTGTGCCGACACCACACCTAAGGGAGACAGACACAACAACGTGCTTACTTTTCTGACCAAATGCAAAATAGACAGCAGTCCCCGGAGGCTTTGTTATTTGTGTGACATGATGGCAATATAAATAGGTTACTGGCCCTTTCCGAGACACCCTGTGATTTATAAATATTAATTAAAACACTGTAGTAAAGCTCTGTATCTAATTTGCATATATGAGAATTTGATCGCACAAGGACGTGGCTCTGTTACTTATTCAACAGTGACCCTTGTGAATTTCATTTGGTCTCTCTGTCATTTATACGGCAGTTTTATATCTATTTATTAATGCTGTTTATAAAGTTTTTAATAAAGTGAACAGGAAAAGTTGAATCCTTGGCACAAATCCAGCCGAAAACAAATAAAAGCAACCGCTTTGTAATCTGGTTGAAATTAAATGTTTCTCCCATGATTAGCAGGGCTGGCCCAAGAAAGTCATTGAGTCTTTTTCATTTGAGGGGGGTGGGCTGTGCCTCACACTTTATTTCCATCTCATCCCAAGGAGCATCTCCTTTTCCCTGTACAAACGGAGGCAAGCAGATCCCGCAATGGCTGCCGGGATATAAGGAGTGAGCAGGAATGTGAAGCCGAGCAGATTCCCACCAGCAGACGAAGCAGAGCAGGGCAGTGCAGAGGAAGACCTGAAACAAGGTCAGCTGCCCTTGGGCTCCAGGCTCTGACTGGCCCGTCAAGCCCTCGCTTCCCGGTTCCAACACAGCTGCCCAAGGTCACTTCCGCCTCTGCCTGCCCTCTCTTTGCCCCCACATTGCCTCTTGCAGGGGCAAAACCTAACTATGGAGACTCAAGTTTCTCACCCCTGCCATCTGCTGTGCCTTCAACAGGGTCTAAGTGTGCCCCACAGGGGGTCATAGGCTGGAAGCCAAGCCTTTGGTGAAGTGAAGTGAGAGGGGAGATGAGGCCTAGGACAAGGGCAAGAGGTCAAGAGGTCATGGGAACTCTTGAGGGATCAATGCTAATAGCAAACCCTCCATCTCCGGCTTCCTGCCTCACTCTAAAATGGGTCCTCACTCTTGCACATGGCATTTTCCTGCCAGGATAACATCTACCATGTTGTGGCCCGGTCAAGAGGGCCCTCACCAGAAACAGAACACACAGGGCCAACCAACCGTCTTCGGCCTTTGATCTCTAAAACCATGGCTATAAAAAAAAAACTCCACTTTAGGATTTTGCTACAGCAATAAAAAATGGATTGCTAGCTGGGCAGTGGTGGCGCATGCCTTTAATCCCAGCACTTGGGAAGCAGAGGCAGGCGGATCTCTGTGAGTTCAAGGCCAGCCTGAGACCAAAGACAGAGCAAGATCCAGAACAGCCAGGGCTACACATAGAGAAACTCTGTCTTGAAAAATTAAAAAAGAAGAAGAAGAGAGGAGGATGGGGAGGAAGAGAAGGAGGAAAATGAATTGCTATATCTGACATTTCCTGAGCCACTCAAACATGGAGAGACACCTCTCTGCATGCTCCCTGGGCAGCAGCTGGGTGTGGCAGATGCCAGGGACAGCAATGTGTGGCAGAAAGAGCATCTGAGGCCTGGCTTTAGGAGTTAGCACAGCTCAGACCAGACACAGATGCACTTTCGTTTGTAGGCCTTGGTCTCATCTTACAGAAAGACTCCAGAGAGGACAACATTGCAATGCTGGTGATGTCACTTAGCAGCTAAGACCCTGTGTAAATCACTCGAGGCCTTATTATAAGCCTCAGTTTCCTCCTGTGCAAGACGAAAAAGACTGGATGTCTATAAAGTCTCCGACTTGGAGCCTAAGACACAATTAATACTCAATAAAAAGCACACAATGGACTGGGCGGTGGTGGCGCACGCCTTTAATCCCAGGCAGAGGCAGGCCAATCTCTGTGAGTTCGAGGCCAGCCTGGTCTACAGAGTGAGATCCAGGAAAAGGCGCAAAGCTACACAGAGACTACAATCACAACATTAGGGCTCCTTGACATTCAGTCTGCTCTGTACGTCAGTGATCTGTCACTGAACAGCTGCAAACACACCAGGCCCACTGCAAAGAAGGCTGGGGGCAGCTTAGAGAAGGCCAGCACCTTCCTTGCTGAACTGCTTCTCATCTTTGGACCCACATGGAATCACAGAGACACTGAGGCAGGGGAAGCTTCAAAAACTAACAGTGCTTTGATGCCTCCGATGATGTTATCCATGTGGGCTGCAGCCTGGGGGAGTGAGTCCTCTCCTAGCACCATGTGGTCCCCAGGGATGGAACTCAGGTCACAGGCTTGATGGCACGTGTCCTTACCATCTCACCAGCCCCATGAAGTGCAGCTTAGGCATCAGGATTTTTAGTTGCCCCCATGTAATCCTGAATACGTATATCGGACTTAAGAACTGTCTGCTTTGGGGTTGGGGAGATGGCTTCATTGACCACACAAGCATAAGAACCTGAGTTCAGATTCCCATTCCCCATGTACAAGTTGATACAGCAGCGCAGGCCTGTGATTCCAGTGCTGGGAAGGTGCAGGCAGTCTAGCAGAATCAGCAAGCTCCAGGCTCAGTAAGAGATCCTGTCTCAGAGGAAATAAAACTGAAAGCAATCAAGAAAGACATCCGATGTTGAAGGCTAGCCTCAAGTGCACACTCACATGAGCACGAATACACTCACAAAGAACCGTCAGCCTTAAGATGTCTCTTTTCTGAATCGAGCCAGTCAGGTGCCCGATGAATGGACACATCCCAACTGAAAGCTCTCAACAGTGTAAGCTCTGGGTTTGGAAGATTCCACAAAGTGCCATTCTCCTCCTGTTTTTTCTTGTCCAAAGAAAACAGCTGAGCCCCATCTGATGCAATACACGATAATGAGCTTAACCAGCGTGCATTCAGCTCACAGACCTTACACAAGCACAGACCCTACACCCCACCCCCCACAAAGGGTAAACAGTGTTAAGTGCCTGAATGAGCTGGGCAACAGGGTCAGAACAACTCATCCAGACCAGCAGCAGATTACAAGCAATCCTGACAAATAAACAAACACCGACCTGTACGTTAAAGCCATACCTCTTTATTAATTATCTCTGTCATTCCCTACAAACAGCTCTTCATACCTGAAAATAGGCTCTTCTTAGGAAGTGGGATTGTTTGTTTGTTTGTTTTCAGACGGTCTTGTTGATTAGTTAGCAAGGCTACTTTTGAACTTTTGGCAATCCTCCTGTCTCAGCCTCTCAAATGCTGGATTACAGGCATGCATCACCATACCCAGCAAGGAGTACTTAATACAGAAATAAAGTGAACTTTCTTCTCTCTAGACTAATTCCCCTTCCACACTCCACACTCGCAATGTTCTGGAAAGTTTCTGCTGCCTTCAAACAGACCAGGTACCCAACTCGGCCCAAAGCATCCATCTGGCCATCTCCTTCCTTAGTCTATAACAGCAGGTTCCTCCCCAAGAGGACTTTTTAAATAATAATAATAATAATTTTAAATAAATAATAATAATTACAACTTCAAGCATTCTGTACTCTTCAGATGTCTTTGTAATAGGCAAATAGCACTTCTGCAATGAGAAAAGAAAGACTGAATATCATATATAACCATATAAAAAGGACTAGAAAATAAATACTGGCCATAGGATGACAAGTGATTTTATTTCCCTTTTATATTGCACTCCTCTGCAGAGTATGAACCAAAGCTTTACCCCAAAATAAAAATGATACCTGACTGCAGTATAAAATATCTTTAGTTACTAGTAGAGTATAATAAACATTTGTATGAAATGTCTATATTGCTGTGTGTGTATATATGTGTGTATATATATATATGTATGTGATATATATGCATACACTTCATACACTTGGTCAAAGCCCTAAGTCCTGAGCGCCTAATGCCCTTGCAATATTAACGACAAAAGGCTTCTGATACCCAATGAGCCTCTTCCAACCACATCAGAATTTGTGCTAATGAGATGACTCAAGGTGACTAATGAAACTCAAGCCCTTAGAGTTTCCAAAGGTGGCCATGAGTAGCAGGTTGGAAATTTCAGCTCCATCTGAGATCTATAGGAACAGGAGGGGGCTAGAGACTAAGTTCAACCACCAGTAGCCGCTGATTTAAAGAGGCATGCCCATGTAACAAAACCCTCCACAGAAACCCTCAGTGATGGCCAAGAGCGGTGGTGCACACCTTTAATCCCAACACTCTCAGGAGGTAGAGGCAATAACAGGCAAATATCTGTGAGTTCGAGGCCAGCCTGGCCTACCTAGCTAGTTCCAGGCCAGTCAGAGTTACAATGAGACTCTGCCTCAAAAAAAAAAAAAAAAAAAAGGAGGAGGAGGAGGAGGAGACAAAGACCTCAGTGGTGGGTTAGGATGGCTTCTAGGTTCATGAACACACTGTGCCAGGAGGACAGTGTCCAAACAGGCCCAAAGCTCCTGCACTAGAGGCTCCATACTTTGCCCAATATGCTGAGTAGGGCTGGCCTGTGGGGACACAGGAAACGCAGAAGCAATGCCCCTGACTTCTGAGGGTGGATCTCTCCATCTCTCTACTCTCAGATCACATATTCTATGTGAGGACATCAAAGCAGCCAGATGGGGGCCCACCTGAGGCTTGGTGCCACCAGCCAACACTAACCTGCTAGCAGCTGACAGACACCAAGAGTGAATCTTCCAGCCACGGCCAAGCTTCACACGCCAGCCAGCTGGCCCAGAGAAGACTGCCTCTCCCTGGGAGACCCCAAACCTGAAATACTACTGAATTCCTGAGTCACAGAGACACCCCACCCCCACCACTGCTGCCCAGAAAAGGTAAACATTTGTTGCCTTTATTAGTTAGGGCTAAGTTATCCTGAGCCAATACATAACAAAGACTCCTTCCAAGCCTAAGATTAAATATAAAACGACACCCCATGCATTATTTATATATTCTAGGGGAAAAGCCCATTTTAAAAGACCCTCCAAAGAATTATTCAAGCCCTAAAGAGCCATGGTCTGTGGGCAGGTGGAGTCGGCTGTCTCC